CACGTTCCCAGGGATCAAGGTGAGGCTGACTGGCCTGTAGTACCCTGGGTCCTCCTTTTTGCCCTTCTTGAAGACAGGAGTGACATTTGCTCTCCTCCAATGTTTGGGCACTTTTCCCAGTCACCGTGATCAATCAAAGATTATTGAGAGTGGCCTTGCAATGACATCTGCCAGCTCCCTCAGCACTCATGGGTGCATCCCATCAGGGCCCGTGGAGTTGCTCAGGTATTTGATACGGAATTTTTGTTTGAAATTATTATAAATAATTAAGGCAGCTAATTGTATCAGTACCTTAGGTCACATTCTCTGCCAAATGACTGTCTCTGCCTCCTCTCAAAAATCAATAATCTGGCATTTACTGTTTAAAATTTACATCTCCTTAATCTTAAATTGCTTCTCTAAATAATTTTTTAGTTCCTTAAATGTCATAGTTATTAATAAATATTTCTATTTCTATAAGAAAATAATTCCACTTCCTGCTCCATAGCGCTGTTCTTCCATCTTCCCTGTGAGCTTGCAATCTGCAAGCTAACTTTTGTGAATGGTTAAAAAGGAGCCATTTTACCCTACCTTTACCCTACCTTTACCCTAACCCTATTAGGTTAGTTGCTAATGGAGCGGCTTGACAGGAGATATGGTGATACAGAATTTGGGCAGGGTGCAGGCAGCTCAGTTCAGGCTTACGATACCACGGACACCCAAACAGTGTCTCCCCTTGGCAGTGGCAGATGTGGACACTTGGTGGATGAGGTGGGGTTGTTCTGTCCTTTGAGCTACAGGCGGCTTGGATTACTCTGCTGAAAACTGAGGTGGTGGTCAGTGACAGGGCCCTTAAGAGGCAGTAGAATTAAGTACAGGAGTCCTGTTAGAGAAGAAGGCTTGTCCTGCAGGACCATGTTCTTGCTCCCTGAGAAGCTAACTTCGAACAAAGTGGAAGTGGAAGTAATACTCATCTATATGCAGTTTTAAGTGGATAGACTTTTCAGTATGTATGGCACAGGGAAGCATAAATCTTTAGACTATTGTGCATAAAAATAGGAAATATGTAGACTGGCTGATACGAAATGGGATATTACTACATCACTTACAAATTGTTTCCTGAAATAAAATTTAAGCTTCCTTTAAAAATGGTTCAGGGAAAGGCAAGAAAAGCCATTGCCACCCACATACAGATGTTTTCTATTTTTAAGTAAGGAGCTTGAAATCATGGGGCTTATTTTTAGAAGAAGTTACATGAATCCGGACAACCATGAAATATTACAGAAACAGATCTGTTATATCCTGTGTCATAAACAGGTGAGTTTGCCTGAAAATTGTTTGCAGCTCAAGAGTAAGTTGTTGTACTATTGGTAAAAACAGGCAAGAGTTTAGAAATGACAGAAGCCAAGTGATTCAGAGCTGGTGAAAAAGGTACTTTTTCAGGGAAAACTGGAGCCAAAGAAAAGTCCCTTTTCTTGCTGAACAGTTTCAAAGCATAGAATCCCTCAACCAGGCCTAATAAAGAAGCCAGTGTCTCCTGTGCATCGGTGTAAGAGTACTAAAATGAAACAGACTGTCTAAGAATGCAATAAATCATATAGGGTCATTGCATTAATGAACAGTTTGGGCCCTAACTCTCATTAGCTTGTCTGCAGGAAGAGAAAACTAGTAAAACAGGAAAAGGACATAGGAGAGAAGCTCTTTGCTGGTACTGTCTTAAGCTTTTATTGTTGAAGGACACCCTTTAGCTAATTTCAGACCCATTAAAGGAAAAAAAAAATCTCTTTGATTAGTAACCAGTGGATAAGAGCAGAAAGCCCAAGTGAATAAAGCTATAAATACCTAAGTCCTTGGGATAACAGCCTGTAAAACTGTCAAAAAGGGTTGCTTAAGTGACAAAAGATAGCCTCTGGTAACTAGAAGTACCAGCACTGTCGGCACTAATCCATATTCTTATATGGAAGGCATTTTTTAATTCCTTCTAAAAAGGCAAGTCTTTTCTGTTAAAATGTTCATTCTTATGTTAAAAGCAGCTGTTTCTTCTGGATGCACTCTCACTGCAGATTTCTCAAAGTCAAAAAAGCTAGGTTTAGTTTCTGATACTTAACAATTTTAACATTTATGCTAATCTGTATTTCTTATACAATTTTCAGACAGGGCCATTTAAGGAAATAATGTAAATTTTTTCAAGAGGCATTAAGAACCCTTTTTAAAACAATATGGATGATCATTTGTGTTTCACTGGGACTTTCTATGGTTTGGCTTCTCAAAGTGATCTTGCTAAAGCACAGCAAAATTTTTACCAGGAAGGTATTACAACAACTTTATGTGTATTCCTTCTTGTGATCCTGTCTCAATTAGTTAATGCTGGAAGAAAATTTTGACATGGAGGAATTTCACTGGTGTTTGCATGCCTTGTAATGTGAATGAGACCAGGACTTTTCCCTTTTTTCATTTCCAGTAAACTGGTTCAAAAAAGAAAGTAGTGAAGTTTTAATAGTGACAAATATCTCCACACCTGTGTGATTTTTTTTTTCCCCCTACAGTTTTAGCATTTCTTCAAGTATTGTAAACTGAATATGATAGTCTTTTAGAGTTTGTTACTTTTTTAAAGGAATGGATTTTATGTAAGTTGAAGTTCATGTTGAAATTAATAAAGGAAAAATACAGTTAATGGAAATCTGCAGAAACCAGTTGTCAGCTAGTAATTTTGCTGCAAAAAGCAGAAAGTGACAGATAAACCAGATGTTTAAGAATAACCTGATGCTGGAAGACTGAAATTAGTTTCCAGAATGGTGATGTCTTTAAAGTTTGCATTGACTCTTGTTCTTCATCAGTGCAGTCTGTTTCATGTTACCATAATTATTTTACAGCTAAAAATCTTGTATGGTTTTGCAGAAGTTCAGCCGGTAAAACAAAATAAAAGTTTTTTTCAGAATTACTTGATTTTTGGAGCAGTGTCAAGTGATGCTGCAGTGCTTTCCAAAAAGGTCTGATGCTGTGGACCATGTAAGAATCTCTCTTGGTACTCAGAAATGTTATGTAAGTTGAATTTCATGTTGAAATTAATAAAGGAAAAATACAGTTAATGGAAATCTGCAGAAACCAGTTGTCAGCTAGTAATTTTGCTGCAAAAAGCAGAAAGTGACAGATAAACCAGATGTTTAAGAATAACCTGATGCTGGAAGACTGAAATTAGTTTCCAGAATGGTGATGTCTTTAAAGTTTGCATTGACTCTTGTTCTTCATCAGTGCAGTCTGTTTCATGTTACCATAATTATTTTACAGCTAAAAATCTTGTATGGTTTTGCAGAAGTTCAGCCGGTAAAACAAAATAAAAGTTTTTTTCAGAATTACTTGATTTTTGGAGCAGTGTCAAGTGATGCTGCAGTGCTTTCCAAAAAGGTCTGATGCTGTGGACCATGTAAGAATCTCTCTTGGTACTCAGAAATGGGTTGTGTTGTTGGTTGGGTTTTCTTGCACAGGGTTAATTCACCTGTATACAAGCTGTATATACACCCATACAGTCAGGTCCAGAGTTTGTTTTGACTGTGTGTCTGTGAGAACTGGAGCTGGTGTTGGTTTGAGGAGAGCAGATGTTAATGGTGTTTTTCTCAAGCATTCTGTTGCCCAAATAGGCGTCTCTCATTGTGAGAAAAGGCAGTAAAAGGCTGTAAATCTGCCTGCTCGTTATGAAAGGCAACAATAGATGGATTTATGGAGAAAAAGCAACTGTTAGGCTTAGGTAGCCTGTGTGCGTGAAAACTGAGTTTTACAGTGACTAGGTATTACTGCTGTTATTTTTGAGAACAATTTAGTTCTAACTTAATCACGAGGGATATTGTACAGGCAAGGAGAGTCAGAAAACTTTCGTTAGCCTGGATAACATGTCACAATAACACAGTTGTATAAAATTTAAAGTGTAAGCAGGTTTTCTTTTCAATAGTAGATTTTTAGATTGTTACTTCCTAACCTGATTTTCACCATGCCTTCTGTATGGACACTTCTTTCTTGTTTTATGTTCTCTGTTAGCATCCCCTGTGCCCACATACCAGATTTGTTCTTTGTCTCATATACCCAGATGAGTGTGCAAGTACGTACCGACATCCACGTGCTTCAAGCCACTAAGCCTAAGAAACAGCAAAAAAGTGTATGGAGACATGCAACATGGTAGCAGGAGGCAAGACTTCTTAGTACAACCCTCATAAGCCATAACCACTATGAGAAAAATTATACAGAATTTTTAGATCAAGTAATAGGCTTTTCTCAGTAATTTTACAGAATTTTAGAGAGAACTTTATACATTTTAAACAATAGTGGAAAAACAATGTATAGAACTGTTTGTTAAATAATGTGAACTGATTTTAACAACTCTGTTTTAAAAATCTAGTTCTCTTTTGTAATCTGTGGGTTCCAGATAATTTCTCTCTGTAACAAGGCAATCTTTCTGGTTCAATCACTATTACAATCTGTAGGGTCTTAATACATATGGAAAGTGTTGGGATGAGGAGAAATCCAATAACAGCAGAAAAGTTTATTTTGAATCCTTATCTTAACACTTATTTTCTAAGGAAGAAGAAAAAAAACTGTCTGAAGTTTTCTGTCATTTAGTGTGGTCTGCTCAGGTCTTCCTCTGTTTTTTGTTTCTATTACATCATTACTAATTTGGCAAATGTTACAACTACAGTATGACAAGGACACGGGAGCCTTAGGTCTATTAGAAACTAATTTAGGCTCTCATGTTGTATAGCCTTTCAAACAAGGCATTGGGAACTTCTTGTTAGGATATTGGCTTTAGTAAAGAACTAGACATGATGTGGTAGTGTGTATGTATGTTGAGCGCATAGCAATTTACACAACGTTTGCCTCACTGACACCTGAAATAAAGATCTTTGAGTATTATTCTGTTCCATAGTTCTTTTTTCTTGACAGCGTGCCTTAGGCAGTAACTAACAGTAAGAGTTTTAGGCAAAAATGTTTCTTACAATGTTACTTATTTTCTTTTTTTTTCTCCTTTTAAGTCTGAACAGCCCAGTCCTGCCAGTTCCAGCTCCAGTTCCAGTTTTACACCATCTCAAAACAGCAGACAACAAGGTACCAACAAAGGAAAAGACGTTGAAAGGAACGTGTGAAATGAAGGGGCCAATAAAACCAGAACTGGTGGTATCTCATTACCATTTTTCTGCTGCCTTTCACAGCCTGAACTGGCCACACTTTTGTTTTAGAGACTTTTCCTCGGGTTGTTTTCAGATGCGGCTCTAAGGAAAAAATAAAAGGGGAGAAAATGTGTATCTGAGAAAAGGGTGTGAAGGGTATTTGTTTTGAAGCACTAAATACATGGCAGTCACTTAACAGATGCTAAACTCAAAAGAGCTTCAGTTTCTGAGGTTGTCCATTTGCAGGGTTAGGTAGCAAGGCATGTGGCTCCATCTGAAGCCCTGCTCAGGAAGGTGTGGCTTCCTATGGGAAGCCCAAGAATGTGTGTATGCGGACCCTTTCAAAGGGCCGTGATCTTCCCAATTTTAAGAGCATAAGGTATTTACTTTAGATACATGTCAGGGGAAGGTGATGGTTAGACTTTAAGTTGACTTGAAGTTTGCATTTTGGTTTTCTGGCTAATAATTATGGTTTACTTGGAACTCAGTAAAGAAATGCATTTTTTTTTCCCAGAGAACTTGCCAAGGCAGGTTTTCAGTAAATAAGTTGAGATTCATTCTGCATGATCTATTAAACTACTTAGTTCCTGCTTGGCCTTTTTCCCTGGGTTTATAAGATTGTACAACTGATACATTCTTAATCAGCTTTTGTTTTGTTCTTTGGATCAGGAGCATTAAAAAAGCAGCTTTTGACTAATTAAAATTGCATTTGTTTTATCCATTTACATTCCTCAATGGTAGACTTGATTTAAGGTTATGAAAATACATTAGTGCCTCAGGCAGACAGTTTCTTTTTAAATAGATCTACACATGATGCCTATCTGTCCTACTGCCTTTCTGTAGGTGGCTGGTACTGATTTTCTAATGTGTTCTGGCAGCGTTACTCCAAGTGAAAGAAAGCAAGAGCTGAAGTGAACTGTGGTTGATGACTGGCTTCAGGCATTTGATTTTTACCTAAGGCTAAACAGAACCCCTTCTTGCTGAAACCCCATTTTTGCTCTCATGAAAACCTCATCAATGGTGTGAACTGTCCATTACAAACCAAGAGATGTGGATACCCATTCTTGTATCTGTTATCTTATGTTGGGCAAAAACCTGTTGACTTAGTATTTTCTTCTGAGCAGACTGGATGCATCCATCTCTTCTGGGTCATATATAAGATATTTCACAGACTGTCTTTCAGTTTTTTGTACCTTCTCAAGAATAGATGGGAGATTTTTCCTCTGATGTGAACAACTCTGAAGTGCAAATGGTATATATGTCTCCTCTTTCTTGCCACAGTAAATAGTGATTTCTGCTTCTTTCTGGGAGTTCCAGTTAACTAAATGCGTTCGTTGCCCAGGCCGTGCATTTGTATGTCAAAGGGATGAAGCACCAGGCTTACTGTGGCATGTTCACACTGTATGTTGTGCTCTGGTCAGAACCCATACTTTTTTCCCTAACTACAAGTTACCTGCCAGGGCCATTGCTCTTTTTCCGTTGCGTTCAAACTCCAATGCTCACTCAAGTGTTAGAAAACCGCAGCATGAACTTTTTTCACCTCTTTCTGCATAAGCAGTGGGCTAACCTAAGGTTCTTTAAGTTGTTCTGCCCTTGGGGCTTACTCTGATATTTCTCTGTTTCCTTACCAAGAACACTTGCTCTTGGGCAGCTCCTAGTTTTCAGTTTCTCCTTAACTATTCTGACCTTTTAGGGGATAACAACTTCTCAAACCCTTAAAAAGGTTGTCATGGAATTTTAAATTAAGTGTTAACAAGGAGCAGAAGATTAACGGTGACATCACTATCAGTGCTAGAAACAAAAGACCTAAAAATTAATGCCTTGCTGATTGTTAGGAAAGTCTACGGAAAAAGCTGGGTAGCTGGGTACAAAATGCCTATTCAGAGTCCCAGATGTGGTCCTACATAAGTGAAAACAGGTTGTTCAATGTCTATGGGGCTGTCAGTGATGGATGTGTCTCAGGAGTCTAAGTTCCTTTTTCTCCAAGAAAGAGGAATAAGCCTGTTGGCAACTTGAGACAGGACTGTCTGATTGTCCCAGAACACAGCAAGGGGGTATCAGGGGATAAAATGGTCCTCTGCTATACTTGGAAAAAGGACATAGGCAAGAATAATGAGTTAGCTTAAGGCTGGGAGAGCAGGCTGTGTAGGGATCATGAGGAATGTGTGCTGGTTTTCTTTCTGCTTCCATTTAAAAATAAAATCAAGGACTGATGTTTTGGGTGACTTGCAAGCATAGCTACCAGTTTCCATGTTGTGGAGTTACGTGCTGCTGTTTTATGCAAGATCAGCTATTCATATGTCATACTAAATTTCACTACAAAATTAGGTTTTGGTTGATTATTTTACCTTTCCTCCCACTGACCTTTCCCTCGGCTCTTTCATCAAGAGTATGATGATGCTTCCCTTTCATCTATCCTTTACCAAGTCTTTCCTATCATTTTCTTCCTCCTGTATATTGTGGAGAGGAGAGGAATGCATTCTCAGAAGCTGACTTTGGCCTATGGAGTGGAGTGAGACTCATCTGCTCTCAGTGCAGACAAAGACGACCGTCTTCAGTAGGACTTTGATGGTGGTTGTTAGTGTCTTTGCCCAGTAAGGTGTAAGGAAACTAGTCTTTCTAGGCTAAGCCTAGCCTGTGGAAATACTCTTGTGTTCTACCCTTTTATCTCTCTTGAAACATGGAATCCTTCTTTGTATATTTATAATTTAATTCTCTTTTCTAACCCTTTACCTCAATTCATTTAGCTCCCTCTGCCATGTCTCTCATTCACCTACCTCAACAGTCAAGGGCCAGTAAGAACATTTTCCAAAAGATCAAAATGGGCAAATTCTTTCTTCATCCCTGTGCTGATGCTGCTGAGGGTGCCCTCTCTCCTTCCTTTTTAAAAGGAATATGTTTATTACTACTGTTAAAAGCTAAGGAAGGAGTCCTGTCCCTCCTTCAAGAGTCAGATGATTAGATATTCGGTCAGACTACAAGTTACCATTTGCAAATAGCTGAGCGTTGTCTGCCTGAGACCCAAACAGGAACAGAAAATGGAGCACGGATCAGCTGCTTCTGCAGATCAGCGGTGGTTGCGTGGACAAGAAGCACTTCCGTATAGCTCCCCTTTCCTTGTCGCCTGCACAAGTGTCTGGTCCACCAGGAATTTGCCCATCAACACCATCTGGGCTTCTTCCCAGCCAACCCTAAGGTGTAAAAACAGAGAAAAGAAACCATTGATCTGAACCTGCCCAAACTGTGCCAATTTATGAAAGTATTAGTGCAACCTTAGTGGTAAATCGTTCTCAACATCAGCTTTGAAGTCACTCGCACAAAACTAGTAAAAATGCCTGTGACCTGAGCCTTGCTAGGTCTGGAATAATCCATAAAGCCATTCCTCCCATGAAGGGAACACCCTCCCTGTTAGGAGTATGACCCTGAAGATAGACAGAGGTCTGTCTTCTGTTCTGGCAGTGACCAGGGATGACAATCCTTGACTCTGTTTCCCCATTAGCAAATAGATAGTTGCAAGCTTCATCTCCCTTTGAAGAACACTCTGAAGCTCACTTCGTTCACATTAGTACTTCGTGTTTCCTGGGCTGAACGAATTACAGAACCCTAATAGTAATCGCTGTTCCTGCAGCCATCACTGTTGCTTTTATTTGCTGCTTTGTGTCTCAGATGGGCTGAACTTCAGAGTTAAATGCCCTGTGGCATCAGTCTTGCTTCCTTCCCTCTTCTAAGCTGCTTTTGCCCATTCTTATTTCAAGCAGCTGTAGCTTTACATTTCCCAGATATGTTAAACGTATTCCGCTTTCTGTAACTGTCTTTTACAGCAAAATAAATTGAGTAAAATCAAACCAAAATCCCAAACTGAATTTAATGCAGTTTTATGAGCAAGTTGAGCTTTGTACCTTCTGTTAATTCAGGAAAAGAGATAGCATGGTGTTGCGTGGGATTGATGCACTTGTTACTTATGAACATTGGCAAAGTGCTTGCTTGACCTGAAATTGACCCTGAAATAAAGGGAACAGCTAAAGCTAAATATATAAAAACCAGGAAGACAAAGACTGCCTTGGCCAGTACAAGTTAGTCAGAATGATTTGTTAGACTCTGCTTCTCAGTACATGGATTAACCTAGCAAATGTACTGTTACTGATCAGTGTGTCCCTGTAGATCTTTACTCGCATGTTTCCCTTTGAGAAATCAAAAAATGCTAAAACCCAGCAATGCAAAATAATCTTGCTTCTAATAATAATACAGTAATAGTCAATTTCTCCTGGCATGACAGTATTTTACTTACTTCAGCTATGGTCCAGGGGGCCAATCGTGCAAACGCTTGAACATATGAGTCACTTCACTGCCATGAGTAAGTCTATTGAAGCTGAGTTGCTCGTGTGAGTAAATGGATAACTCCCTGCAGGATAAGCCCCCAGTGCATTACTTCATTTGTTTAATGTTTAAGACTCTCCCCTCCCAACACTGTGTGGGGAGGGTAGTTTTCTGTCATCTACAAAGCTGGATGCATTGCCTGGAACACTGCAAAGTGAACTTCACTTGTGTATTTTATTGTCTCTGTTTCAGGTCCTTTGAGGTCTATAATGAAAGATCTGCACTCAGATGATAATGAAGATGAATCAGATGAAGCAGATGAGAATGACAATGATTCTGAGTTGGAACGACCTGTAAATACACGAGGAGGAAGCAGGAGTCGAAGGTGAGTGTCTTGTGATTGCAAGTAGCCTGGTGGCCAAGACTTGTGCTTGTTAGTAATGGAGTGAAGTCTAATGTTCTCAAAGAGCGCTGAGTAGCAAATGGGCAGAGAATTCAGACTCTCTTTTTAAAGCATATGCATGTAAAAATGCGTCTTCTGAAAACTATCAGTATTAGCCATTCCCAATACAAACTATTTCTGTACTAATCCATATGGTTATGATGGTCCTCATTCATTTGACTTTCCTTGATTTCATGCTATTGTGACTTCAGGGGAGTAGTCATAATTACTCTCTGGCATAAATGAGATAATATTAAGTCCTTCAATTGCTGGATGCTCAATCCAGTGAGATTTTTTATTCTGTACATAGTGTCTCATTTTTAAGGTCTCTCTGCTTACCGGTTTTAGATTACGTTGTTAAATCAGATCAGAATCAATTAAATTTGAATTCCAAGTAATTTCTGCGCTGCATGCAGTCAGTAATGTGTAAAAGTGCAGACAGAAGGTAAAGCAAGCATCTGTCACAGAAATTACTTTTTAAAAAATGTTTCTGCATCCTAGCTGCAACGCCTAGAGGGCGTTCCAAAAATCATCTATTCTTCGGGCAGCTTGAAGCTCCATCTGAATGTTGTTGAAGGTTATGGAAAACCTGAAACAGTCTCTCTCTCTTGAACCTTTTTCTAGTGGGTTCTTCATCTGATCCATGGGGTTTTGCTGTGAGTGCACAGCACCTGCGTGCCAGTGTCAGCTACTGCTTAAATGGGAAGGTAATAGGAAAACATTCATGAATGTCAGCTGCTTCCCTGGTGCACTTTAGCAGCTGGAATCAAGGAGAAAAAAGACCAAGATGACCAGCAGTTTGAGAATTTATTCGTGTCAGTGATTGTATAAAGGATTGTCTTAAGCTCAACTTGTCTCTAAGTGTGGAGGTTTTTTTTTAGTTTTTTAACAAAACCTTAAGGCTAATGTTTCTCTACCTTTGTTTTATCCCAAATAACTGTTTTTCTTTCTTCCAACAAGTAAATACTCCCTGTTGTTCCTAAGTAAATGAAGGCTGAGACTGACTAGAAGCTGAGCTTTTTCACGTGGCCTCTCCTGTGATAGTAAGTTTTTAAACTTTAGCCAGGAAAGAGAGTGTTATTTATGACGAAAAACAAGGAACTTTTCAGTGAAGCACTTGTCCAAGTGGGAAGTACAGCTGTTCAGAAAGCTTTTAGAAGAGCAGAAAAGTATCTCTACAAAACATTTTCCTCCTTCCTCGTCGCCATGAACAGAGATACAGACTCGCTCCAGGAACAGCAGTTTAATGTTCTAAATATTTAACTGTTTCTGTAATGTTAGCTGCTATTAACTGGACATGTCATCTCAGCCAAGTGCAGGCAGACAGCCTTGTTCTCCATGCTACGCAGAGCTTTTTCCAGAGTGGGGCCCTGCCCGGATGCCTCTCTTCCACATGACCTTGATTAATGATGGCTTGCTTAGCAAGGGGTCATTCTTAGTGTCCTACCTCAACGTGCAAGCTCAGTTCACCCCTGTTAACAGCGTTTTGTCTGTAGGTGTAATCTCTTGGCTCTGTTTTTCCATAGGGTTAGTCTGAGTGATGGCAGTGACAGTGACAATAGTTCAGCTTCCTCACCACTACATCATGAACCAGCACCACCTTTACTGAAAACCAACAACAACCAGGTAAAGTCAGGATTCGTAAATGCAGTCCTGGGCAGCTGATACGACATTCTGATTACTTCAGTGCAGTTACTTAGTCTGTAAACTGACATAAGAGTGTTTTTTTCAGGAGAAGTAGTATTTGGTTTAGCAAATACTATAGACCAAAATAATGTTTTCATCGGTATTTTAAGAAATGTGTCCTTTCTGTATGAATTAGCTTTGTAAGGTAAACAATGCAAACTGGTTTTACAGCATCAGTTGTACAATTGATACAGCTTTGGGTTTGTATTAGCAGTAGACACAGTATGTATCAAGAGGCTCATTCTCAGGAGTTTATTCATTCATCTCTTCCCCTCTCCCCCCACCAGTGTTTATCTGGAAGAGACAATATTTTTTACTTCACTAGAAGACACAATAGTTTTTACTTCACTATCAGAGTATTTGTTCCATATCCGTAAGAGCTAACATTGTTATTATTTTTGAAATAGGAAAGTAGGGTATTTTTTATTTTTCAGAGAAAAGAAATTAAATAACATAGACCTACAAAATACATCAGGGACAAATGAGAATTACAGTTTGGGAATTACCTCACCCTCAGTCACCGATAGTAAGCCTCTCTAAATATAAAAATTAAACATAAAAGCTGTTATTCTTTAAAAAAAATCATAATTTATAAAATACATAATTTGTCACTTATTTTAAGGAGCCATAATTCACTCTCAGTGTCAGTTGGATCATACACAAAGCAGTCATGATATTTAATAACTGGCAATAAATGGCTGCTTACAGTATTGATATAGTTGGAATAAAGTCTACAAGTATTAACAAAAGTTTGTGGTTTAGATGGTGAGTTTTAATGGATGAGTCTTTCCTATATCTCTTAGGTTAACTGCTTCAATTATCTTAGGTTAACTGCTTCAATTATCTGGCAGAAATTATTTACTTGTCATTGTTTTTCTAACAAGGTTTCCAATACAAGCTTACTGATAGTGCAAAACCAAAACATTATTATTCATGTCAGTTCAAATACACCATGGGGAAAAAAACCTAGGGAGTAGTTTGTGCACAGAGAGAGGAAGGAGATTCCATGTCCGGAAAGCATTCTTACTATCCACCAGAAACTCTGTAGGCTTTTCTATGTTGATCTGTACAAAAGTTACAAGTTTTTGAGAGAGTCTTTTGGGGAAAAAAGCAAACTATAAAGATGAAGAATATTGCATTTACTGGAGACGTAAGCACAAGAAAAATAAAACACCTATCTATGGCTTATTGTGTAATGAATACTAACTTCTACAGAGGCAATGCAATTGTTAAGTAATTTTAAGTCTCAATATCAGCAGCCCACTCAGTCACATCTTCCATGTTCCTTTCCCCTTCAGTGATCTAACAGAAGGTCTACCTGCGCATTTAGACACTCCAAACAATAGCAGTGTGCCAGCTAAAATGGAATGTCACGTACCTTCTTCCATTTTTATAATTGAGCTGAATTTTATAATCAAGCTGAAAATCAGAAATTTAGAGAAGCATTATGAGAATTCAAATTGTATGGACCGTAGCCACATTTGAAATATCTGCTTGGTAGCATAGTGCTGCTTGCCAGGATGATGCTTTTGACTGATGAAATCAGGCTTGTGTTGACTAAGTCCATTCATAGAACTAAAGTGCTAAGATGGAGTTAATGTTTCTATAAGCTTCCTCAGATGTGATTAGTGCTGTGTCTCATCTAAACAAGAGTGCTTAGGATGTTAGATTTCAACTACACATCAAGAGCACTGTAAGGAAGCCACTTTTTCAAATATACTGTGTCCTTGCTAAGGTTCTATTTGAAACCAAGAATTTTCTTCCTTTAAAAACAAGAAAAGCATCTAAAAGGTATTGGATCCATGCCTAGAGGTCTGGTTTTTTTTTTTTTTTTTTTTTTAAAA